ATGTAGTAACCACGCCTTTGATTCGTAGACGGATCAAAGTGCATGTTAGCAGCTTCAGCGTCATCGTTGACGGCGCTGCAAACATACAAGGGTCTCGGGTTCGGCGGCGAGGTCACCGCCGAACCTGTCAGCGATCTCTGATGCAGAAGGCATCCAAGCAGGGCGCACTGCAACATCACTTGCAGTGCGACGCTGATGTTTCGGATAGCAAAGTGGCACTGGTAGACGAAGCGTTCGTAGAATCACTCGGTGGGTCGTTGGACTTGATTCATTTTGACAGCAACTGAGAGCAACCACATGGAGCTCACCTTCATCTGCATTTGAGACAGATCCGTCCAGCTTCCCACACATTTCACACGATGTGGCAGAACCTGTCATGGAGTTAAGAGACGTTGGAGACTCACCTCTTGCTTTGCTATTCTATTTTGTGCCTAAATTACTGTGGTTTCATGTGACGGTCGAGACTAATCAGTACAGGAGACAAAAGATTAGCGAGCGTGCCTCGTGAATGCGAACACGCCAAGAACGCTCAGGCAGGCCGTTTCCACCGGAAACTCTCCAGCAGCTGCGCAGACGCTTACGTGCTGAGAAACCGTACGAGACGTTTGAGATACTGCAAACCTTGGGTCATTTCGTTGCTCGGGTATTGTGCCCACATAAACGAACATTTTCAAGCCACTGGTCGATGACAGATGATGGAGCTATACCCGCAGGTACCTTCGGAAAGTTCATGGCACAGAACCGTTGTACATCTATTCTACGTGATTTGCATTTTGTAAATAACGATACAGCTCATGTTCGCGATCCCATGTGGAAGCTACGACCAGTAGTCAATGTGTTTCAGGAGCGCTTCCGTTTGGGATGGCCACTACCAGCAGTTTTACCTTTCGATGAGGGAGTTCTGCTAGCGACATCGCGGAGAAACACCACGCGCATGTTCATGCCTGACAAACCGCACCGCTATTGAACCAAGATGTTCATGGTCTGCGACTCAAGAACGGTACATTGCCATCGGTACGTGTTTTTGTTTCGACATTTACGTCGTAACTTACGGTATGCACAGCCACTACATTCCAACATCGTAACTTATGCCTTAGCTTTGAAGTGTATGTTGGTGCACGGGAGAGAGACGATGCCATCGGACAGACAGTTGATAACAAGACGGGTGCTGTAATGTGCCCACTACTTCGGCTTACACGTTAGCGCACGTGTATGAGGAAGCGTAGTTGCTTAAACTTAGATTAACTATACTCACGTCTCGTAAGTATAGATTTACTTAAATAAGAAAAG